GCAAACAGTCATACCCATTGTATTTTTATTTTGGAACCAAGAGCAAAATTTTAGGCATATAGATGATAACATTTTAATTTATTATAGGCTTTAACAATGAGATTTGAACTTATGATCTCGAGGAGCGTACCCTTTGGAAAGTCTCCTGGTACACGATTAGAGCTATTATTTTACGAGAATTTTGTTAAAATAGGCCATATTGAATTAGATAATGTCCAAATACACATTTGTCAATTTTTACCATTCTTTGTCTATACTATCCTTAATAGAATATAAATAATTCAAAATAAGAGGTTTTAAATTTTTTAAAAATCAGATCATTATAAACATATCATGAATAGTTATTTGTATATAATTTTTTTTTAAAGCTAAAAACCATGTTGAAAAATGATTTTAGTGTTTTCTTCTACGGTTGCCCACAGTTCGGTAGATTTAGGATTCTGCCTATTTCATCTATGTACCGAGTGTAGCATCTTGGTTTTACGTCATGCTCTACGTTCTACATTGTCGTAGAATATTAGTTCTACAACTTAGACTGACATCTACCAAACCGTGATAGTACATTCTACCGTTCTCAATATATTCTACCGTGTCCTGAAGATAATATCTACTGCAACGTCTATCACTTTGTCTACTATCTACCGATTCGTAGAATATAGTTTCTAAATAATTAGTTACAAATTTCTTAAATCTAGGAGTGAATATTTTTGTTGCCTAAAATGAGTTTTTAAAAGATATTTTTTAATATATGTTTTCTTCTTCTTTTTTGTCTTATGAATTGTTGTTTTTTTTTCCGTTTTTCGTTCTTCTTAAAAAATTTTTTTAAAAAGATTGCAAATATAAATATATAAAAAGATGTAAAAAGTGTCAAAACATGACTTCGAACTCGTGGAGAGGTAGTCAGTGATAGGTAATATATAGAGAATGTATCCAATAAAGCTGAGGATAATTTATTGTTTTTGTGCAATATAAATATCAAATACATAAAACATGAACGTTTTTGTTAAATATTAAGAAGTTGCCAAAAAATGCCACAACATGTTTTTGAACCCGTGACTTCGAACTCATGCTCATATAATCATTGATAGGGAGTGTAACCAGTTAAGCTAATGATCATTAATTATTCATTACATGAAAGACCGTACAGAGATATGAAGCATAGACCCAGTCTATTAGACCGGTCGTTGAAGTTTTCGAGTGTGGTAATGTGTCGAGATGCATATTGATCAAGAAGACCGGACGAAGTAAAGTGGAACTGTGACCGGTCCATGCGTCCGAACTTTGGGAGTTTCGAAAAAAACCTTTATTAATATAAATGAAGGCTAAAATTGAGATTAATTGAAACTAAATCCTAATGGGATATTCTTATAGAGATAAAAATGTATTGAGACATGTTCTATTTCAATGTGTCATAATTTAGTAAATTTCTCTTCTTCTATAGGTGACTTAAATTCTAAAAGACTATTTGAGATAATATCACGAGCATGACTAAAATTTATATATAGGATGGACGATATAACTTAAGAATAATTTGTTTTTCCTTGTTATATCGGGTTTGAAGTTTATACAAGTTATAAGGATTTGTAAGATATTAATTCACACAATCAATAAAACATAAACAAATGAGTATTCGTCTCAATATTGCTTTCTCGCTTGTTTTCACTTTTTTGTTTGTTTGTAAGGCCAGATTCACAAAAAGAGAGCTATTAACATAGGGTTGATTTGGTTAATAACCAAAAAAAAAAATAACTAACCAAAAATTCTAAAATTAGTGGTTATGATTTTTGCCGCATGGGGAAGTTTTGCTTAGTTATTATATTCTAATTTTTTTCTTTATTATACTTGCCAATTTCCCATTAACATAAGTGTTTTTTTTTTTTTTGCAAGTTTGATACTAATAAATTTGAATAGTGACAAACTATTTTTTTGTCTAGTTTTTTGAATCAAACATATGACTAATACGATGTTTTGTATTTTCAGTGGTTCATGTAAAGCCGGTTTTGCCCGGATTTAAAATGGTTCGATTTTTAACATATCACTAATTCGCGGTTAAACCGGTCAGGAAATTAAGAAGATGACGGCGTGAAATTTTAATTTTTGAAAGAGGAACAAAGGGCCCTCGTCCACTACGTCACGTAACAGGATTCTAACCCTAAAAAGTCAGGCCCATTAGAGATTTCAGGCCCAACTTAATACTTTTAAGCTAAAAAAACAGAGCCGTGATTATTCCGGCGGGCGTTTATTCTGATGCTCAGTCGCAATTTTGTGTTCCGTCGTAAGAATCTTGATTCGTTCTTGTCTCCACAATGCCAGAAACTTATCGACGACCTAAGATCTTGCAGAGATATCGTCCAAGTTTCTCGAATTCATGGCTACATGTTGAAAACGGGAATCGACAAAGACGATTTCGCAGTGAGCAAGCTACTTGCTTTCTCCTCTCTACTAGACATTCGATACGCTTCGTCGATCTTCGAGCATGTTTCCAACACTAATCTCTTTATGTTCAACACAATGCTCAGAGGTTACTCGATGAGTGATGAGCCGAAGCGAGCCTTTCGTGTTTTTAACCAATTGAGAGCTAAAGGTTTGGCCTTGGACCGTTTCTCCTTTATCACGACTCTTAAATCATCTTCTCGTGAATTGTGTAGTCCAATTGGTGAGGGAGTGCATGGGATCGTTTTGAGATCTGGGTTCATGGGTTTTACTGATTTGAGGAATGCTCTTCTTCACTTTTACTGTGTTTGCGGGAGGATCAATGATGCTCGGAAAGTGTTCGATGAAATGCCGCATAGTGTTGATGCTGTTTCGTTTAGTACTTTGATGAATGGGTATCTTCACGTTTCTAAGCAAGCGTTGGTTTTGGATTTGTTCAGGGTTATGCGGAAAAATGAGGTGACCGTTATTGTCAGTACGCTGCTTAGCTTTCTTTTGGCTACTGGTGATCTAGGAGACTTGTCTGGAGCAGAATCTGCTCATGGGTTATGTATCAAGACTGGCCTTGATTTTGACTTGCATTTGGTCGCAGCTTTGATTGGTATGTACGCCAAAATTGGGGATATTGGTTCAGCACGCAGGATCTTTGATTGGGCCATCCGAAAGGACGTTGTTACATGGAATTGTATGATTGACCAGTATGCCAAAATGGGTTTCCTTGAAGAGTGTTTATGGCTACTAAGGGAGATGAAGTATGAAAGAATGAAACCTAATTCATCTACATTTGTTGGGCTCTTGTCTTCCTGTGCAAACAATGAAGCAGCATGCGTAGGACGGAGGGTTGGTGACTTAGTGGAAGAGGAAAGAATAGCTCTGGATGCAATACTCGGAACCACACTCGTTGATATGTATGCAAAACTTGGAATGCTTGACAAAGCTGTTGACATCTTTGATAGAATGAAGGATAAGGATGTAAAGTCCTGGACCGCAATGATCTCGGGTTACGGAGCTCATGGACTAGCAAGAGAAGCAATAACACTATTCAATAAGATGGAGGAAGAGAACAGCAAAGTGAGACCCAATGAGATTACCTTCTTGGTTGTGTTGAATGCTTGTAGCCATGGTGGGTTGGTAATGGAAGGAGTCAGATGCTTTAAGAGGATGGTTGAGGCGTATCGCTTCACGCCCAAAATTGAACATTATAGTTGTGTAATTGATCTTTTGGGTCGAGCGGGGCAGTTAGAGGAATCATTCAAGTTAATAAGGAATTTACCTATCACAAGTGATTCAACAGCTTGGCGTGCTCTGCTAGCTGCTTGTAGAGTCTATGGGAATGCAGATTTGGGGGAAATTGTGATGATGAGATTGGCTGAAATGAATGAGATACATCCGGCTGATACGATTCTTCTTGCTGGGACACATGCTGTTGCAGGGAATTCACAAGGTCAACAAAAATCATTAGATAATGAGTTGTTTAAAGAGAAAAAAGAAGCTGGATACAGCGCCATTGAAATAGAATAGCGTCAGCAAATAATCGTTTGTCCTCTCTTTCAGCCTCTAGCTTATAGAACATCACTCCAAAGGTTGCAACATGTCTTGATTTCTCTGACTGGCTTGCACATTTCTCGTTAACGGTACACCAAATTCTGGTTACAAGTCACTTTTACTAACACCAACGAGATCACAAAACTTGTACTTTATATTATTACATATAAAGCCAGGGCTTTCACACCATAGCCTTCGATGTCTCCAAGGAGAAAGAAATCACTAGGAACCAAAATTGCAGGTACTTCTCCAAGATCAATGAGAGCACAACTCCAAACAAGAAAGCTAGAACTCGAAGAAGGTTGTAAAAGATAGCTAATGTTCAACGATCCTGGATCGAATTCAAAACCAGCACGGATTCCAGAACTGAACCGAACAATCAGCCATAGCAGCAGTAACAACAGTAGCACCAAGAAAACCGAGATGAGCAAGAACCGAGAACAACCACACATCAGGAACATTGTGAAGAGGAACAAGAGTTTACCATCGAGGTTGCGAAAATCGAGCAAAATATCATCAAAGGTTGTACCTATTGAAGCTACAGAAGACATTGGAGAGATATCCAAAGAGCAAAAAACACCGAAGAAGCTCATTATGACCTGCAAATCCTGGATTTTCTTAGAAGATGACTTTGCTTTGATGAATGATTTCTCGATAGAAAATGCGGTCGGGCTTTGCGAGTTCAAGGGAAGAGAAGGCATAGATTCAGATTTTAACACTGATGGTTTCTTATTTGATGATTCTCTATGAAAAAAGAAAAGAAAAGGCTTGTATAGATTTCGATAACTCGAGTTTAATAATATATACTTGCCAAATCAATTCTTTGGCAACAGTTTTGTTCCTGGATGATATTATATCTGTTGGATAGTATGTACAGGTAACATTTATGTAATCAATTTCAGATCAATCAAAAACGTTGTTATTGAGTTCTATAGAACATGGTCGAATTCTGAGTTTTTTAAAGCTCTTACACTCAACTCAGTATACAGAAGAGAAACCAATTGGACCACAAAAAGATCATTGTTACGCCTTTTAAGCCAAAACAATTGTCATTTTTACGTGTGACCTAAGCAATACACAGAGTAGATCAAGCAAGAGAAGAGCATCCATGGCCAGACTCACCGGAAGTAGAGCCACCACCTTGACCGGAATTTCTGGTGGGAGGAGGAGGGACGAGAACAAAACAGAGCTTTCCTCTACCGGATCGAAAAGACCAGACATGAAACACACCGTGGACTTTAAAGGTGTTCTTGGCAACCACATCGTTCCAACTATCAACAAAGACATAATTCCAGCTTCCACTCATCTTCCACTTCCTCAAATCAACGACATGTTTGTTCAACAGAGGATCCACAAGATCAACACGCACACCTTCTCTGCGAATCTTCAAAACCGATTGTTCGTATATGATTCTTGATTCTTCCTCCGTAAGAAAATCTCGGACATGGAGGCGACTTGGAACTGTCTTCTTTAGTGGTTCTAGCATCGTACTCTCTAGCGGCAACATCGGCCAACATCTTCAGATCATTCCAGTTGTCCGGTGGTGGTGAAGCCCTAGGATTATCAGGGTTCTTCATTTACGAACGAAGCGTTGTGTGCAAGAAATTGAAAGCTGAGAGAAAAAGAAATGATCGTACAGTAAATTAAAGAGATGGTGTTGGATATATTTATATAAGATATACATTTCCTTTTTCTTTTTGAAATTCTTGACCGTTGGGCTGATTTTCCTTTTCTGGAAATTGGTAATCAAAATTATTTTAGATCATGCTGCTTGTAAGTTATAAGCCAACCAAAAAAAAAAAAAACAATACTAACTTTGTTTTACTATACGTAAATTACTAATTTCTTTCTTTGTTGATTTTCAAATTTGTTTTTGTCTCCAGAAAAATTTTAAGTACATTTAAAAAAATGTAACTATCACAATATAACAATTTTAGTGAACATTGTGATTCTGTAAATTTAATACTAACTAATGAACGATTTCATTTTTCTTTTTGTTTAAAGTTTGAACTTTTTCCTTCTTTTTTGGTCTCAAAGTAAACAGGTTTTAACTTCAACAAAAATATGGTTTATACTGTTTCCTTTTTGGAGAAAAATAGAAAAATCACAGTATTTTCAAAAATAAAGAAAATAGTAATATCAGGTTTGATTTATGTGATTTGATTAAGGAACCATTTATGTTTTGTTGTGTCTCGTAAATATGATCTTGACTCACTAGGAATTAATTAAAATCCACGTGTTCTATTTGGATGTCTCTATATTAGTACATTTAATTAGTGAATATTTGATATTCTATCGGCTTAATGTATATACATATGTGATCTAATGAATTTCTCTACTTGAGAAGTTTAAATGTTCATAAGAATCGATTACTCTTTTGCGATAGTAAAATGGCCAAATTAAATTGCCAAAATAAAACATCAACTTTGGATTAGACATCATCTGTAGAAGAAGAGATAAAAGATAACAACTTTGGAAAAACAAACAAAGACATTTTAGCTGTGTTCGGACATAATGACAAGGTTCGAGTCAGTCTTGAACTCTTGATGTTGTAGTCAAGTACGATGCGAGTGTCGTCGAAAAGATTGCCTTGAAAGATCAAATTCTACTTGTCCACTAATGGACCTCCCTTATCATGGATCATGTACTTGGCTTATCTACAGGTCTGATCCTATAGAGTGGCATGAAGTGCTTATGCACAAGACCCATTATGGGTATCATAATTTTAGTTAAATTTTTTTTTGCAAAAGAGCCCTCAATTTCTATAAATTTTGTCAAAAAGGGCCTAAATATTTATATATTTTACAAAAAAGCTCTAATTTTTTTTTTAAGCACAAGACCCTTTAAACATTGGACCGAACCTACTTATCTAATAGAATCGGACTCATTCACTTATAGGTTAAATATTTTCCCCTTAAGTGTTGATACAAAAATCTGCTTCACTTTTATCTCTTAAAAATCTACAAAAATAAAGCTTGCCATGTCATAAACATTGTTACAGAACATTTAATAAGGATCAATATGTGCAACCAGAAAAACAAATTTGTAAAAAAAAACAACAATATGACTATATGAGAATATGATCCTTTTTCGTTCAACAATATGTGTGCATTACTTTGTACTTATAATTGCAAACACAATATGAGAGAACACCACAAAGATTGAAAACTTTACCTATGAAATCATAATTTAGGCTTGATATAGCTGACAATAAATTCCCTTAAAAAATAGCGAACCCGAGCGTGAAAAGGTATAGGATGATCAATATGATCAGAAGCATCCTCGGCCTCGAGCGAGAGGCATAAAGTAATTCCCGCTCCAAGATTTCAATTAGCTCTCACAAATTCATGTTTTGTTCCCTAAAGACCAAACCAAACGTACATAAGACGATATGAGATTTATAACTTATTAACAAACCTTAATTATCATCATAATATTTGTTTTATTCGAATTTTGGTGATACACATTCACATAATTCATAAAAATTCGTTATTATTAACATACCTTATCATCATTGTATTTATCAATAGCGGCTTTGCACATTCGATCAACCGAATCTCCATCTGTTTCGGGTTCTTCACTAAATATACAATCTTTGAAATCAACAGGCTTAAAACCTATTGGTCTTCCTACACTCGTGAAGTCTAAATCATAATCCTTTTTCAAAACACATAAGAATAAAAACAAAAAAACTCAAAAATCGAAACAGCAAAAAAAATTTACAGATCAAAATCAAATCAAAACATACCCCACTCCTTTCATATTCTTCGTTGAACAATCAAATATCCTCGTAGTGCACCGAAGAGTCGTCACTCAAAGACGAACTCTCTTCGCAATTTTGATCGATTGGATCAAGAACCTCAGATTTATTACCGACCATTATGGAAAGAAGTTTGGAAAACCCTAACTTGTTTGTCGCGCTTTGTTGATGATTGCAAAACCCAAATTTCATCTCTGTTAAAAAGCACTAGATTTTGACTCATGCCAATCATGAAATTAAATATGTTTTCTAATCGATTTTAATATTTAGATGGGTATTCCAATATTTATAAACGTACAAAAATGATATGTATTGAACATAAATGTGATAAAGTTAAATTTTGATCAAACATAATTTGATGTTATATGCTTTGAACAAGTTTGCTTGCATAAAGTATTAAAACTAATGCAAATGTTATTTATTTCAATTTATTTGAAGCGTAAAATTAATTTTTTATTATTTGTGTAAATTATAGCATATGATAAATTAAATAGATTTATCAAATAGATTTATATGAATTTGTCGGACATAACAAACGAAAAATATATGTTTTCCAATAATGAAAAGTAAAAATATTTTTAATTGTAGTTGTCGTTTACAAATAAATTATATTGTTACAAATATAATAATGAAAGCTTTTTAATATATCAATTTTTATAAAAAAAATAGAACATATGGTAAATCTAAATATTACATTTAGTTAAACTTAAATCTGCAAAATATGTAATACTGGGTTTATATTATAAAATTAATAAAAAATGTAGATATTTCCACCATAGCATATGATTTGAATTGAAATGTTTTTATTGATTAATTTAAATGACATATTTCTTAAAATTTTCATTGAATGACATGTATGATTTTTTCACCAAATATCTACTCAATTAATATACAGAGGATTAGTGACATTTTTTAAAACGTTTCAAAATGATGGCATTTTTGAAAAGTGGTATTTAAAAAATTCTCTACATTTAATATAAGTGTCATGTAAATTAAGTTTTGTGAGAGAAAAA